GCTGATCAGCTGGAATGTTACAGCATCTTCAGGGTCTTGTGATTTACATTCAGATACTTGGCAACCAATTCATATTTATGACAGTTACAGTGTCCCAGGGTCATGTGAAGTGACTCAAACCTGCTGCAACCACCCAGCAGTTGGGGGGGGGGGAATAAAAACCAAACACCCCCCACCCTACCCCCGCTGCCAATCCTCAACAGAAATGCTCACAACAATGAAAACCTCGGACAGGAGGAAGAGCGCCAACGGACAGGCAGGCAGGTGTCTTGCTTGGCTGTGGCTTGGGGGGCACTTTTTTCAGTGCCATTGCAACTTCAAACAGTCACTAAGCAAACTGTTGTAAGTCAAGGACTACCTGTACTTTATCACTTTTTTCCTTTTTTTTTGCTCAAGTTTTTAACACCTTGCTAGGCGACTGGTAGTACTTGGATGTTGCCATATCCTAAAAGTGGTACAATGGGTGAAAAGATAGAAAAGCCCTGATATAGATTCTCCACCATCACTTCGAGATAGAGACAAGAGAGTGTGGGAAGTCAGCCCCCTCCCCCAGAGAAGAAAATATTTAAAAGGGCAGAATATTATATTTCCTCAAAGGATCTTACAAAGGCAGAAAAGCATGCCCAGTTTTTCTTAATAGCCCCATGTCTTCCTCCCCCACGCAGAAACCAGCTCTGTAGAAATGCAGATATCATAATCCTTTCAGAAAGACTGACACTTGGAAGCTTAGAGCTGATGGGATTAGAAAGACAAAGATCCCTAGAATCAACAATCCCTCACACCAAAAAAATCCAACGCAGGACATAGTCATCAGCCACAGCCCCAGGGAAGGAGGATATGACCTTTGGGACATAATAGGATTAACCTACTATAATCAGAATATCAGAAGGCACACTCAGACTCAGGTCAAAGTTCATGCCACAAGAACAACTCCAAACAAAAGCTCAAGAAGGTATAAAAACCCACCACTCCCTACTACATGTGGTCAGCTTTCCCAGAGCCATCTTTCTGTCTGGCTGTCCTCTTCAATAAAGCACTGTCCATTTTGATTATTCCCAGCTTGGACTGGACCCTGATGAAGATTTTTCTTTCAACAAGAGCTTAATACATATCTCTTGCGAAAGAAGCCACTTGAGAGGAATTGCTTTTGAAGCTCTATGGAGGGGGAGAATATGCTCTTAAAACCTGAAGTATCTTCTTTACCAAGTTCCCCCTTAACAATGTGCAGCCTGCTGAGGGTTATTTTTTTTAACAGCAGTGAAAATAACTGCTGTCTTCACCTTATTACTGTTGAGTAAGGAGGAGCTGGATATGGTTAATGCCACAAGACTGGGGAAAAAATGAATTCACCAATTATTGGGTATTATCAGAAATCATAGGGATAAGTAAAATGGCCTAAAATGTCTTGCATGGAACTGGTATCAGCCATTATATATGGCAACACAATTGCCTTCAGGTAAGAAAAGAAGGACCAACTATACAAGACAGGGGAGGTACAAAAACTATCCTCATGGTGCCTAGAGAACAACCTGCACCTGAACATTGGCAAGACGAAGGAGATGGTGCTAGACTTCCAGAGGAAAAGAGAGGAACCTGCCCTGCTTTACATCAGAGGGGACTGGGTAGAGAGAGTTTCCTCCTTTAAATTCCTGGGAGTCTACCTCTGTGAAGATCTTACCTGGAAAACTAATACAGCCCAGGTGGCCAAAAAGGCCCAACAGAGACTCCACTTCCTCACGGTTTTGTGGAAGAACAGGGTAGAACAACGACTCATGACCTTCTTCTACCGGTCTACTATTAAAAGCGTTCTCATATATTGTATTGTGGTTTGGTATGCTTGCCTGACAGCCGCGGACAGGAAGATATTGCAGAGGGTGGTGAGCATGGCACAAGACATCCTGGGCTGTTCCCTGACTCCACTGGATGACATCATCAGGGCCCGTTGCCTTGGCAGAGTGAGGAAAATTCTCAGGGGTGATTCACACCCTGGTTGGTACCTTTTTACTCTTCTACCATCGGGTAGAAGATACAGAAACATAGTCAGCCGTACCAACAGGCTGAAGAACAGCTTTTATCCATGGGCTGTCAGGCTTCTGAATGGGACATAATTTTATAACTTTATGCATGATAGACTCGTGAGGCCGGCATGATGTGCAATTAGTTCACAGGGTGAAATAAGTTGTGGGTTTGTAGTCACCGTGAGTTTGTGATGAGGGGGGGGGGCACAGAGGGAGGCTCAGCCAATTTCTCTGTACACATGTTATACTTTAATAATAAAGGGTTTATTATTATTATTTATTATTATTATACAAGCATATATGCTTGTTGTATGAATCCAATAATATCAATGGCCAATTTGGTCTAATTGAAATGGTACTAGAAAGAAGTATAGAACACAGATTATCAACTAATAGCTGGCTCTGCATGCAAGCAGCCCAATTCTTGATAAAGGGTTCCTCATCTAAGCAATATTTAAGTGGTGAAACTTAGCATGCAGCATCTGTTGGCTTTGTGCCATGCCTTAATGCAGCTCATGAGGTACTTTCCACAATCTGCACACTGTAGCTTCACATATAAAAATCTACCCATCCTATAATGAGATGACAGGGTGTAGATGAAGTTTGACAGCTGGACTGCAATGGGAAGGAAAGTGAGAGAAGACATGTTGCATTGGCTGAAGTCCAGCTATACAGGATGTATCCCATTATATAGACCAATAAATAGTTGTGGTCAATTTTAGCCTCTTAAGAAAGCTTCTCTCCAGTTAACCTTAACCTTCAAGCATCCAGAGAAGGAAAGGTTCCATGTTCCTGTGCAAAGTCCATTGTCTGCCTGTTATATACAGGTAGTCCTTGACTTTTGACCAGAATTTCTGTTGCTAAGTGAGACAGTTGTTAAATAGGTTTCACTGTTAAGTGAATCACTGCAATTGTTAAGTTAGTAACACAGTTGTTAAGTGAATCTGACTTCCCCATTGACTTTGCTTGTCAGAAGGTCACAAAATGTGATACATGACCCTGGGACACTGCAATTGTCATAAATACATGCCAGTTGCCAATTCTGATCACATGACCATGGGAATGCTGCAACAATTGTTAAGTGTGAAAAATGGCCATAAACCACCTTTGTCAGTGCCGTTGCAACTTCAAACAGTCACTAAATGAAAGGTTGTAAGTCAAGGACTACCTGTATTACAGAAAAGAAGGAAAAACAGCTATGGATTCAACTTACCCAACTAACTTGACAGAATGGAATCTCTCCTGGTGCTCAGGCTGTGGTTCTCTAATGGCATGCCTATAAATCCCACTCTTGTAAAGGAAGAAATCATCATATACTTTCATGATGGCTGAAGGGTAGCAGTGAATGGAAAAAGGCAAAAAATATTAGCTGTAATCTTAATTTTAATTAGTGTTGATTACAGAAACATCATTTTAAGATATAGAAATTATTTCACATTCCTCTTAAGACTAAAAGCCTTAAAGATAAACAAATAATTCACAGAAGACCTCGATATTAGTAGAAAATCTACAGTCAGTGTCCCTGGTATACTCCTGCCTGTTTTTCCCAAATGTAAATATTTTATGCAGGAACATGAACCCACCGTTTCATTTGATTTCTTCCACATCTAAAATTCCCTTGTTCAGACTGTTTTGAGGTTTCACTTAAAACACACAGAAACCAGTGAGACTCCTATTCTGACTGGTAGCTAAAAGGATACGTGATAAGCATCTGTTGTGGAAAGAAGGGAAATGATGATATGTCCATCTGATGACATGACACAAATGATGTGATTAGTTCCATCAGACATCATGGCACAAGTAGAGTAAGTTGCATCTTTTGCATGATAATGACACGACACAGGTGTCATAAACTTGACATTGTTGCAATGCTGCTGCCTGTGGATCCTTGTTGTAAACCACAGCCTGATGCATGCATATACTGTATAAGGAAAAGAAAACCTGCACTGTTCTCAGATAGCTAATAAAGCACCATTCCGTCGTTTTGAGAAAACAGATTATCTGTTTCTTTTCCTTTCTTTTCTTCCTTAATTCCTATTCAGTCAAGATGGAGTGTTTCCCCTTTTACTTCGTCTTATTCTTACTTCTTGGCTTTTGCTGCATCCCTTTTGGAAACATCTGCCTCTATCTCATCCAGTCCCTCCCACACCTAAAATTTGTTCTTCTTTACCATTTCCTTGAACCTCTCGTGCTAGAATCTCTTCATTTCTTTCACGTTCAGATTCCTGTTGAGAATCATTAGAATGTAAGAAAGGATCTACTAAACCAGGCCATTGGTCTGTCTAGTCCTGTATTATATGTCATTCAGCTGATAGCATTGAAAAAGCTCCTGTGTGCCTAGACTGCACAGTTATTATCTCTGTCACTTGTAATAGAATCATATCATAAATCATAGAACTGGAAAAAACCTTGGAGGTTCCTTCCAACTGCCTGCTCAAAAGGCAGGAATCCTTATACCATTGAGGGAAGTTAGCCCCCCCCCCAGAAGGAAATATTAAAAAGGAAAATATATTTTTCACCAAAAGGATTTTTTGAAAAGCAGAAACCAAACCTGGCCCCAAATTTCTTTGCTCCAAGCAAGAGCTAGCCTCATAGAAATGCAGATATAAGACCATTAGGAAGGTTGGAGCCAGGGAACTCAAGACAAAGAAACTCTTAAAAGTCATTAGCTCACCCCAGGAAAGCAGGAGATGACTTTTGGGATATAATAGGACTAACCCATTACCATCAAGTATACCATAGAGGCACACCTAGACTCAGGTCAGAATACGTGACACAGGAAATAGCCTCAAAGTTCATGCCACAGGAACAGGAAACTATTCCAAACAAAAGGCTAGAGGGGATATAAAAACCTACAACACCATGTGCTCACCCCTTCTCTCCTCTGTTCTTTCCTGAAGAACCATCTTTCTGCTTCTTCAATAAACTGTAACCTTCTTCCCAAAGCAGTCGCCATGTTTGCTTATTTATTCCCGGCTTGGATGAACCAGGATGAAGACTTTACTTCTAACACCATCCTGGACAAGTGGTTGTCTAATTTTTTCTTGAAAAAGTCCAGTGACGAAGGACCCACAACTCTGGGAGGCAAGCTGTTCCACTGATTGTTGTCACTGTCAGGAAATTCCTTCTTATTTTCAGATTGGATCTCTCTCTGAGGAACTTCCACCCACCGCTTCCTATCCTCACCTCAGGTGCTTTGGAGAAAAAATGGATGCTCCCTTCCCTGTGATAGCTCTTCAGGTATTGGAAAACGGCTATCATGTCTCTCCTGAGCCTTCTCTTCATAAGGTTAAACATACCTAGTTCCCTTCCCATCAATCAGTATGTAAGGCATGCTGCCTATAATCCATATAAACTGTCATTAGCGTTAGACATCATAAATTGCCTCATCCTTCAAGAACTCTTCCAGGCCCATTTTACAATCATCCAACTTGGCTGCCATTATCTGTCCTTCACTGATAGGGAATTCCAGAGTTTAACTGTGGGCTATGTAAAAAAAAAACAACACAACTCTTTGCTGTTTCTGAATCTTCCTTCATTTGAAGAACTTATATGTGAGAGAGGGAGAAAAATATTTGCACAGGTGTCTGTGGGAGGCAAGGAGATGACAACAGCTACATGCAAAATCTATATTTAGTAGATTTCTAAGATTGCCCCCTCATCTAGGAATCTGATCATATAGGCACGCATCAGACATTGTAATGCAAGTACACACTTGGCATTTGCAGGATGACACATGCATAGATGTCATTGTTTGAGCATAATTGTTACGGATGCCCCTTTCTCCACTTTGTTTGCCATGAATGATGTTATATGCCTCCATCGCTCAACCTCTGACTCAACTTCATCCAAGTTAAAGAGCCTCAGCTTCCCTAACATTTTTTTGCAAAGCAGTCTTTCCACCCCAGTAATTCCGAATGCTCTTTTTCTCCTTTTCTCCAAGTCTATAATATCCATCTAAAGATGCAGTGGTCAGAAGTATCCATGATGCTCCAAATGAAGGCTCCTTGTGGATTAGTTAAAACGAAAAGTGTCACTTCTTAAAGCTCCTTTTTTGAAGATCCCTAGCATGAAATGACTTCGGTAGTTTTAAGATTGATTTCTCCCTCCCGTCCTTAGTTTGTTCACCAAACTAAGGTGGCATCCTTCTATGTCTATCCCTCAGCTTCAGAATTTAAAATTCCTCTGAGAAAACTGGTGGGTTTTCTCATGCCCAGTTCAAATAGGACTTCTTAGCTGTTATTTGATGCAATAAATCAACATTTCTATTCAACAAGTCCTCCAGTGCTATTTGAAGCCAACCTGCCTGACATCTTTTGTTAACTCTTGCTGGTCTCAGAATGCTAAAGACATCAAGAACCAATCAGTGCTTTCTCCAGCTGACCAATAGAAGAGGCAAAAACGATCATTCTCTCTTGTGCTGATTGTTTGTTTCCAACACAAATTGAGTTGGAGCTCCTGATTCTTCAAATGTTGCCCACTCTATGCAGTATGAAGGTATTGACGCTTTCCCCTCACATTTAATACCCATAAATATAGATCTAGACATCATAAATCCATGCTCATTGTTTTGGAGTGATATAGTTGTAAACAATCAATTTCACTGACCCCATGGACTAGACCAGCTTCTGAAGGGACATATGGAAGAGTACACCATAAATCAAGCTTTGCTGTTTTGTTGTATAACCTCTTGGTTTAGGATTGTAACAAATCATCTAATTCTAAAGTATACAAATTGAAGCTGAGCCATATAGTAGAATATATTGAATCTTAGGAAGAATGAGGGTTATGTTTGTTATTCTAAAACAATTAACACAGAGACAACTAATATTCTCAAGAATTGTCTGTGATAAGAGTTTGCTTTTATGTATTCCATGCTTAGTAATTAATTTTAAATCAAGCTTTTCTTTACCTTGCACTGGACCATTTTCTTTGATTTCTCTCATTATATCGGCCTCCTAGAATTGGGGAACAAAAAACAAAATGGTACACTTATTTTTTACATCTATTTCCCCTCATATTTATGTTTTTGAATTGAACACCTTATTTAGAGAAAACGGTACACGGCATTTATTAATTATAGCAAACAGTTTGATCTGGCTGCACCCTGATTTTACTACATTCTCCTTAGAGTAAGGGTTTCAATTCGACATCCTTACCCAATGATGAATCTTTCTTTTAGAAAGAAACCCCTGCACGTGCAAATATATATGTATCGGTGGAATTTGGGAAGAACCAAGAAATTGCCAGCCTTCCAGGTAACAAAAGTAAATTGTAGGAGTTGAAATTTATTCACGCTCAGCACTTACCTTTGAAGAGATTCGGTAGGGAGAGCCACACTGATAAATGCGGTTTGATGTTTCAAACTGATTTGGACATGGCTTTGTGGGCCATCTTTTCCCCTCAGCATCAAACACACTTGCAATGGCACAAGTCATTGGGTGAAGCTGGTTCCAGAATAAAGGGTAGCAGGCATGGGATACCAGCCTAGTTAGATTAAAATACAAATTGATGATATATTTTTTAAAATTTTAAATAGGCAGGATTCTTCATTTTATGCAAGGAACTATGTTTCAGGAATGCCTCATCTTTTAGATTGATGGTAGGCAATGCTTTTTCTAAGTTTGGAAACACATGTATTATTATCATTATTATCAAAAAAGGGTGGGGGTGGAAAGCAGCTGTAACTCAAAGTCGCCTCAGAAATGTGGATTCTTCTTTGGCAATATTTTGAATGGTGATTAGTCAAGTGGGTGCTTCACCACTTGAAGAGATTGGACAGCCATTTGTCTGAAATGATATAGGAACACCTGCTTGAATAGGGTGTTGGACTAGAACAGGGGTGACAAACTGCCGGCCCGCAGGCTGGACACATCATCCGGAAGCCACGCCTACCCCATTGCCGGCAATGGAGAAAAAGTCCGATACGTTGCACGACGTCACGTGATGTTGCAAGTTTGACATGTCTGGACTAGAAGATTGCCAAGATCCCTTCCAACTCTGTTATTCTGTTATTCTACTCTATTAAAGTAGGCATAATATGCCTATTGGAAGCTTATACTTTTTTTAAAAAAGTAAAATATATTGGTACCTATGTAGTTAGTAGTATATAACTTAGTAGTTTGGAAGTAGTTTAGAGGTAGAATTCTAGGGCTTCTGGCAACAGTAAAAGAGAGGCTGGAGATTTGCATGTAGGTTGCATACATGCTTGTTTTAGAATATGGATTAGATTCCTATTCAAGAGAGGCTTTTCAATTTATATATTATAACCTGAAGGAAACCTATTTTTAATTTACAACATAGCTATCTGGAATTAAATACAAATCCATCTTGATCTGCGCTGTGGCAAAGAGGAGGTTAAACTTCCTCTTATTGACAGAATCCAAGTCCTGTTTGAAACCAGCTGCTAGATGCAATTTGCATCTCTGAAAAAGTGAATCCAGGTGACTGAGGCCATATTCTGGTTGTCCCTGGCTGTGCAATCACTGTACTAGTATCTGTATGAAATATCCCATACTAGGTGAGATACATCAAAACAAATAATCTGATCTAAGCAATAAGTTAGTAAGATGATATGATCAAGACTGCATCTAAAAAATGAAGATAATCTATACCTTATTATATTTATTCTTTCTACTCTTAACTTGAAAGCAATTATCGCATAACTTATTCTTTTTTTCTGAATCATTCAAAAGTCGGGAAAGCTTTTCTATCCCATCGTTCAAAATGCATACCCTAGGACAGGGCTTTTCAACCAGTGGTATGGGTACCACCTGTGGTACATTGGCACTTGGCAGGTGGTATGTGACCATCCTAGAAAAATAACAGGGGAGGGGAATGAGCTGAACCAGTGGCAGCACTGCACAAGCCTGAGCAAGAGATGGCTGGAGTTGCAGGGCTGTCATGGCTCAGTGGAAACGCCAGGATCAGCGCCAGGCTCCAGCTGGAGCTCAGCGCTGATCCTGTTGCTTCTGCTAAGCCCTGAAGAAGGACCGATCAGCTGGAAAGCGGCACTGATCCTAGTGCTTCTGCTGAGTCCAGAAGAAGCACCGATCAACTGGAATGTTGCAGTATCTCCAGGGTCTTGTGATTTACATTCAGATGCTTGGCAACTGAGTCATATTTATGATGATCACAGTGTCCCAGGGTCATGTGAAGTGACCAAAACCTGCAGCAACCACCCAGCAGATGGGGGGAATAAAAATCAAACACCCCTGCATCCCACCCCCCACTGCCAATCCTCAACAGAAATGCTCACAACAATGAAAACCTCGGACAGGAGGAAGAGCACCGCTGGGCGGGCAGGCAGGTGTCTTGCTCGGCTGTGGCTTGGGGACACTTTTTTCAGTGTCATTGTAACTTCTAAGAGTCACTAAGTGAACTGTTGTAAGTCGAGGATTACCTGTACTTTATCACTTTTTTCAATTTTTTTTTTTTTTTTTGGTCATCAAGTTTTTGACACCTTGCTGGGCGACTGGTGGTACTCGAATGTTGCCATATCCTAAAGTGGTACAATGGGTGAAAAGGTTGAAAAGCCCTGCCCTAGGAATCCTTTTTATCTTAAAGATACAGACTGCTTGCAGCCACCATGTCAGATGGGATTGTTCTGCAAAGCAACCGCTCTGAAATTTGGTTCAAGAAAATTATTTTTTAACAAGCTATTTTATTATGTTTTGTTGGTTACTTTGCTGGAGCCAAGATAAGGCAGCTACAGTGTGAAGTTTGATGCAGACCTTCCATACAGCCGACAGGATTTCTGAAATCTAATTTGGAAAGGGTTACAGTAGATTGGTATCTATTGGTAGGATATTGAATGTTTTATGGAGGAAAACAGTGTGTTCTATTTTTCTGTTTCTTAACAGCAGCAACAAAAAACTTCTTCTTAAATAGTCTATTAGATTCTCTGATCCTTATTTCAGTGATAGAGTTGTACTAATATGAGTCATTCTAATGTATGGCTAAAGTGGTACAGGACATAATTGAATTAATCTCCTGAGCTAACATTTTGTGGATTAAAATCTTACTTAAGAAGAACTGCAACAATGTAGATCTTATATTTTTGAAATCTGCACTCTCACCTTAGAAATGCCTTCTTTGATCCAGGTGCTTTGAAATATTTTGGCATAGAGTTTTTATCATGAATGAAGGCAAATATATGTGTCCCAGGATAATGTTGCAGGATCCAATCTGGGTCGGTTACTGGGAGTTTTAGTCTAGCAATTCCTATCATCCCTTACTGTTAGTCCGGTTGATTGCAACTGAAGGACGTAGTCTGTAATGCCTAGAAAGTGTTGGTTAAGCAATTCTGGGAGTTGAAGTTGAAGCTCACACATTTTAAAGTCACTGAGGTTGGCTTTAAACACTAATTTAGAGACTTCTTCAAGCACTATATAGGATTTAAGGCGTAAGGCAAAGGACATGATAGCTTCCCATACTATTTCCACAGCAGAAGCTGATCTAGACTAAAAGCTGGTCTTTATTTTAGAACCAGTGATGAGACAGCATCCTGCATCTCACTTTAAGAGCACTTCGTGAAGTCAGGGACAAGGGCTAAACTATATGGAATAGAGAGCCTGACTTCTAAACAGGGGCTGATGGTCATGATGCTGTTGATAAATGTTTATGGAGATTCTCAGTCATCCAGGCCATGGCTGTTCCAAAGGTGCTTTTTCAAAACGCAAGTGGACTTTATTTGTTTTTTCTTGAAGTTGTTTTTGCTTTTCACCTGAGAAGCTTCTTCAGAACTGAAAAAGCTTCTTGGATGAGAAGTGAAATGTCTTTAAGAAAAATAAAGAAAATCCAGTTGCTTTTTGAAAAAGCACTTTTGGGATGCTGTTGATAATACCGCTTCCATGCCACCCAATATCCCAAGTTATCATCTCACTCAGGCTAACAATAGAACCAACCTTTTCAGGATTCCAGTGACCTGTAACCCCGTGGAGATGCATGCATATTTTATAAACTTGTCCTGCATATGTCAAAGCTCCACTCTTTGGCCTCAGAGTTATCTTTATCTGCAGACTCTGTTTGGCAGATTCTGTATTATACTATCAATTTGCAAGCCAATGTATGAGAGGATAAATGCTTTGAAGAAAAAAAACAAAATCTCTAATTCCTTTTCATAATATCAAATAAATAATTAAGGGGTTCTGTCCAATGCTGCTTACAAGATTCCTGTCTTCCCTCCATAAATGAATATTGAAAATATTTAGATTTCAAGATACAAAATGATTGCTTCTTATTGTTACACAGCTATTATTCTGAAAAATATTCTTTTAAAAAGACAGACTGAAAACCACAGATGTGGGAAAGTTCTGATTCATATCTTGGGCCTTCTTCGTTTCAGAATTAATCACCAGCAATTAAGTTTGAACAATTTTGAAGGGGAAGTTGGGGAAAGAGAAAACCAATCCTTTCAAAAAATCTTTAGGAAGTATTTTTGTTCCACTTTGATGAATAATACGGTGGCTTCTGAAACCTTAAGCTTCAAATACCTTTTGAAGTAAACTAACAATTGAAAAAGGCATTCATAAGCATCTTCTTTGTCATTTGTTTATTTTGCTCTGCTTAAAGTGACATAGCGTCATGGTAACTGTTGTGTAGTGGGAACAGTGAGGCATTGAAGACACAGAGTTGAAATAACAGCTCTTTATTAGATTCTCACAGAAGCAAGCTCTAACAGCTGCTTGACTTAAATTTATATGGGCCGCTACTAGGTGGCGGACAATCAGTTTAAAGTACTTGTTCCCGCCTAAAACACTAGGGTTAAAGTTATACAGACAGTCTAAGATTCAAATAAAGCAATCAGTTAACTGTTCTTATAACAGACCCTTTGAATTGCTTAATACATAACACCCCTTCCCCCTAAATCAATACATATCCATAAATTGTATATAGTCATTTAGATAAGTAGGCTGCTTCCGCGATCGTTTTGAATGCCACATTTCTGCCTGTGGCTCCCTATCTACCCTCAGTTGACTGGGTAGACTGGAATCCTTTTGACAGCTTAGGTCAGGAAGATCAGTCTCTGTTTACCCTTTTTGGCTGGGTAGACCGGTCTCTGCTCAGCTGGTCTGGCCGGGTAGACTGGTACGCATGTCCGTCTTCCAGCATACTTTGGTCTTCAGGCACAGCTCCTTCTGTTGGTAGCGACTCAACCACAACTGAGTCATCCAGCATGTCTCCTTGAGTCGCGCTGGACTCTGGCGGCTCAGACACACCGGAGCTGTCGGGCAGCCCCCGGCTCTCCTCTTGGTCA